GGCAGTCCTGGATCGAAAATGAAAATTCTCTGGTTCGGGCAGACATTTGCTTGTACACAGATGGATCAAAAACGCCTGAAGGGGTAGGAGCAGGAGTATACTGCCAGACACCTCGAATTAAGCAAGCCTACAGCCTGGGTACGTACTGTACTGTATTCCAGGCGGAAGTATTTGCTATTGACATGGGTGCTAAAATCCTTCTTGAAAGAGGGGTGAAGAACATGACAGTACGAATTTTCTCAGACAGTCAAGCCGCTCTCCAGGCGCTGCAAGCCGTGAAAACGGTGTCGGCTCTGGTTAATGATTGCAAGAGAACATTAAACACACTGAGTTGTGATAACAGAGTTTCTCTGATCTGGGTCCCGGGTCACTCTGGGGTTGCTGGCAATGAAGCGGCAGATGAGCTAGCACGAGAAGGCAGCGCTAAAGCGTTTGTGGGATCGGAACCAGCAGTTGGTTTATCATTTGCGATGGCCAAATATAAGATTGGACTGTGGGCTGAAGAAAGACTTCGCCTACTGTGGACCAGTTCTCCTCGAATGAGACATGCTAAGGTGTTTATTAACATCGCCACTGTCAAACCCGGGAATATTTTAGGACTTGCCCGTAATAGCATGAAAGTTCTAATAGCTAGGTCATGAAAATTGGAAGGTAAATGACAGAGGTACAGCTAGCGGAGTTTTGGTGTGGCAACCTGTGTATACAGGTGTCTTTTCTCTACNGATAGCCTATAATAACACCCAAATTTGCCCACCCTGTACATAAAATTTAACAAACATATTACAAAAAATTTTAAATAAATTGTGTTCCGTACAATTAAATTTCGGATTTTCCATTTTTGATAAATAAAAAATTAATTTCTTTTTAATAGAACGCTGGTTACCTATTTTCGGTAACTTGTTATGTATTATTTTGGTGCCTTCTGAAAATAACACCTGTAGCTTATCGCTTGGCTGCAACAGCGCCTGTGGGGTACAGGCACGCTCCTCTATAAGTATTCCATGACTACTTATGGAATAACGTATGTGTGAGTATTTGTACGTATGTGTGCGTAAAGTGGCGGTAGTTTGAACTAAATTTATGGTTAACGCATGCGCATACGGAATTAACACAGCATGCTTATTTTTTACATGTGCCACGCGAGTGGCACATGTAATGTAAACCTTTACTGGCGTGCAAGTAGAACTGGCGCAACTACTGGCGCCACTAAATCCATGCATGTCTAAACTTACCTTTAAGCAAACGTAAAATTTATACGTTTAAGTTTGCCAACGATTCTTAATTAATAGAAATTTGCCCTTCATCAAATCATAAGAACCGTAAACCGTTTGTATTTGTGAACATAAATAGACTTGCGCAATGAACGTGGGCAATAGACAAGGTTTATATATTAAAGGTTGTCTAAGTTCCTATGCTGCAATACTTTGATTTTAGTTTGTGGGCGAGGGGCAAGAGCAGGAGTGTTTCGTGACGTAAGCGATCACGGATTGCGCACGCAACTTC